GTTGTCCTACAAGTTTCTAAGTGTTTCTTCAAGCTTTGGCCCAAAAGAATGTGTTTTGAAGCTTTGAAATTAGTTTTGAACTTGGAGCTGAAGTTTGGGAAATCCAGAATTTGGTTTGATGGTTTGAATTCTAGCGTAAATTGCAAGCTCTTAGAAGTTTTGCAGAGTTTGATGGTTGGCTCGAGTGACCAATATGTTGGCTTGAGCGTAAAATGAGAGCTCCCAATACTTTTGTAAATTTTGTAGACTGCTCGAGCGACCAAAGCTTCGCTCAAGCAAATTACCCTATTTTCAAAAATTTTGCAAAGTGTTTCAAAGTGTATTATTGCATCCTCATTCCATCTTAGACATTCTTAAGCCATGGTTTAGGCCATGTTAATGAGGATATGAATTAGAAACACACTAAGAAAGAAATGTAATAAGACAAGTGTTTACAATGCGTGTGTATCAATGTGTATTTGTCATGTGTTATGTAGGTCAAACGTCGCACTGTGATCACGTGTTTAAAGGACCTAACTATGAGTAACAACGTTGTAAAGCTATGTTCAAACTATAATTATTTTCTAAATGATCTTAAGCTTTGTTTCTGAAACAGCACTGTTTCCTGAATGAGTGATTGTCCTATTTTACGAACTGTATTTGTGGCATCCATAACATCTGTTATTGTTACTGGTACAGAGATCTCTGTCAGTTCCAAATCTTGGAACTACTGTTTATTGTATTGATGGCTCTCACACCCCAAATCCAAGCATGACCAGCCGTGGCCCACGGGACTAAGCCCAAGGCATACATAAGCCTAAACATGAACCCAAAATCACAAAGAATAAATGTGACGATAGCCCAGAAATAAATAAATCAAAACCCAATCCAATGACAAGTCACAAGTATAAATGGTAAAACCAGCTATAACCAACTTTCAAAAATATATACTAACTGGAACACAAATCGCCCACAAAATAAAATAATTCTAAATAAAATCCAACCACAATGTATGCACAAAACCGACATAACAAGCTCAAACAAAATAATGAATGTCCTAGAGGTCCATGCGACAGGACAACCCTACCCTTCATAGGGGTGTTTGTTCTCTTTCTTGCTATGTGCGATGTATGGGATCTGAGGTTTTCAAAATTCTGAGCAGTGGTTCAGGCATTTCATTTTAAGGGGTTGAATTCAATGTTTCAGCATGTTATATAGTGACCAATTGAGCCGGAATGTTGTTGAAATTCTGATTGAGGGTTCCATTGTTTGTGCTAGGTAGTCGTGGAATAAGAGAAGTTATTTAGTAGTTTTTAACAACAAAATGCACTTTTGGCAATCAAATTTGGCGACTAAAAATAATTTAGTCGCCAAAACTTGGGGAATTGGCGACCAAAATTTTTTTTAGTCGGCAAAAGTACAACATTTAGTTACTAATTTTCTTTAGTCATGAAATATTGATTATTAGTGACTAAAAAAATTTAGTCGCTAAAAATGGCACAATTGGCGACTAAAAAATGTTTTAGTCGTTGTATATATGGTTTTGGCTACGAATTTTTTTAGTCGGTGAATGAAAAACAAAAAATTACTTTCAGACTTCTGGCGACCAAAAGTTCGGTAGCCAAAAATTTATTTTCAGCGACTAAAAAATGTTTTAGTTGCTGTATAACTAGTTTTGGCTGCTAAAATTTTTTTGTCGCCGAATAAAAAATAAAAAATTACTTTTTATCTTTGGTAACCAAAACTTTATTTTTTGCGACTAAAAAATATTTTAGTCGCCAAAGAATTAAAATTTTAGGAGGGAAAATTTTGCATTTTGGAGGGATTTATAAAATTAATTAGCGACCAAAATATTAAGTTGCCAAATTACTACTTTTAGCGACTAAAATAATATTTAGTCGCCATTAATTAAGGTTTTGGCTACTACAAAAAATTTAGTCCGCATTGATCAAACTTTGTTCTTAACTAGACTAGTATATCAGTCCTCTCCCATTTCACTCTCGCATCATCCCTCTCTCTCTCTCTCTCTCTCTCTCTCTCTCTCTCTCACTTTCATGTTAATATACTTACATTGCCCATGATACTTATACTGTCAATAGGATATTTCATCAAGCAATGCTTCTGTCGTGTGCATACAGAATATGTTGTATGAAAGTGTAAAGCTTATCAATATTACTAATGCAATTCAATTTCCTTCCAACCTGCTGTGAGACTAAGAACTACATACATTCATTTCAGTTCATTGAAAACATAAAAAAATAATCCAACTGAGTTTCATAATTAGCACGCATAGTGAAAATGCAAAACAGCCCCCAAACCACTATACGAATGTCATGGGCAGCACCCCCGTGCCAAATAGGACCTGTTGCAACAGAAAGAATGTAATTAGCACACGTAGGTTGGGACTTAAAGTCAAAAACGCCTTAGACTTAGTCGCAAAAGGACATTCGGGGGGGTGAAAAATGCAAAACAGCCCCTGACCACTAAATGCATGTCGCAACCAGCTTCCTGGTGACAAATATGACTTGTTGCAATAGACGGAATGTAATTAGCACGCATAGGTTGGGAGTTACAGCCGAAAACGCCTTAAATAATGTTATATATAGCAATTAGTGTACTAACTAGTGTATCAATTGATGATATGGCATAATTTAAGAGGTTTTTGGTATTTTCCTTTTCTGTATTTTGGTATGGTATGTGAACTACCTTTTTTTCTTAGTGTCTCCGATCATTGAAAGTGACCCTTGCTTATATTTCAAATGCCAAATTTGTTGTTGGAAGGTATGGACATTTTTCCTTTCAAAACTAGAGTTTTCTAATTCTTTACCTTCCCCTCTCGCTGTCTCCATCTCTCCGTTTTTTTTCTCTTTTTTTTTTTTGTTTTTGTTTTTCTTTTTCTTTTTCTTCTTCTAACGTGTTTTGTAATTATTTTGGTTTAGGGAAACTTGTCGAAAAGATCACTCCACAGTAATGCAGAGAAGCTTGAATTTCAAGCTGAGGTGTCTCGGCTTATGGACATCATTATCAACTCACTTTACAGCAATAAAGATATCTTCCTTAGGGAATATATTTGGCATGGTAGTGAATATATTTGTCTACAAAGGACATGTTTTGGTATGATTCTCTGTTTTGTGTGGAATAATATTATTATTTTAGGTTGGAATATAATTTGTATGAAATTAGACATTAAAAGTTATTCCTTTTTGGATGGTTGGAAGTGAAATGGATGCAAATTGCGGAATGATTGAAAATATATGTATTGTTTTATTTATATATATATATATATATATGATATAGGTTGCATGGAATACATATATGTTGTGGAAAATTAATTATAAAATAAAATAAAATCATATTTTTGACAACTAAACAATTAGTAGCCAAAAATGAAGTAAATATTTTTAGCGACTAAATAGTTAGTAGCTAAAAATAGAAAAAAAAAATTGGCTACTACTATTAGTAGCCAAAAATAAAAATAAAATGGAGAAAAACTTTTGGCTACTAAATGTTTAGTAGCTAAAAAAAAAAGCAGACTTTGGGCGACTAAGAATTTAGTAGCTAAAAAAATAAAATGAAAAAAACAAAAAAATAAGATGAAAAAAAAACCCTTTGGCGACTGAAACTTTGGTCGCCGTATATCCTTCAAGTTTTGGCGATCAAAGTTTTAGTAGCGGAAAATAAGATTTTTGGTGACTAAAATATTATTTTTGGCGACTAAAAATATTAGTCGCCATTTATAAGACTTTTGGCAACTAAATATTTTTTAGTCGCCAATACCTTCCCCGACAACCTTCCCGCGACCAATCCGGTGACCAAAATATTTAGTCAGGAAAAATTTTCAACAACTAAAATCGTACTTTTGGCGACTAAAAATTTAGTCGCCAAAAGTGAAATTTCTTGGAGTGTCAATACTTGACATCATACAATTTAGTTGTCTTTAAAAATAAATAAATAAAATAAAATTGCTGAGTTTTACTATCTTCTTCTTCTTCTAGTTTTTTTTTTTTTTTTTTTAATGACATGAGTCTTACTATCTAAACTAATAAAAATAAAATTGGGACACCACTTGTATTTATTTGAATAGTATTAAATAATATTTTGAAGAGACATTTATCAATAAGTCCCATCTCACAAACAAGTATTCCAATTAGTCCCAAATTTTTTTCTATTGATCTGTTAAGTCCTATTAGTAGAGAGTTTCTTTCCGTGTAGTCCTATTTCGATTTTGGTAGTATTTTGGTGGATAACTATACCCTTTCATTAATGTGGCATGTATGATGTGACACTCCAATGTGGCAGGTATTAATGTGACACTCCAACGTGGTGTATGATGTGACACTCCAAAAAAATTAAAAGGGCAAATTACAGAAATGATCCCTATAGTTTACTCGTGGTTTCATTTTGGTCCTTGTACTTCTAAATATATCAATTTTGTCCCTGCATTTTGGTTTTTGGCTCGAAATGGTCCAATAGTTAACAGTCGTTGGGCTTTTGAACAAAACCCCACGGGGACCTTGCACGCACGGGGACTTGCAAGGGAAGAAATTAGCCATTCATAGTTGGTTGGCCATCTCCACATGGCTGATCATGCAATAACTGGGGTCGCCACCAAACAAACAACCAATGGATAAGAAGATGATGACGTGTACTTTCTATATATTAAATAAAAATATAAATTATAAATTATAAATTTAATTTAATTAAAATAATAAATTAAAAATTATGGCCTTATAAATTAAATTTTTTTATTGTTAAAAAATTAAATTTATATATCAAATAAAATTATTTTTTTCGTGTTGTTAATTTTAAATTATATATTAAACAAAAATATAAATTATAAATTTAATTTAATTAAAAATAATAAATTATGACATTATGGCATTATAAATTAAATTTTTTTAGTGTTGTTAAATTATAAATTATAAATTATAGATTACAAATTTAAAATTACACACATAGTGTTTTTCTTGTACTTCGGTTCCATTGTGGAGAAAAAAGAAACTTTTTTATGAAATTGGTAAAATAATTCATCCAAATGGCTCTTCAATGTTCAACAAGGGGTCTGTCAGTTGCATTCTCTCAATGCTAAAACATCCATTTCTTTCCACAACCCTAACCATGTAATTGGGGCGAATTATGTACATAGGTAAATTGAAGGAGTCCACTTGAGCTTCACTAATCAATCCTTGTTTCAAACTACGAAATAGAGAGATATATATGCATACATATATACATATATATATAGAGAGAGAGAGAGAGAGAAAGAGGAGGGAGATTTGGTTATGGCGTCGGTGGCAATAGTTTCATCGCTGTGGAGGAGGAGGTTGCCATCAGTTGAGGCGTTCTAGCACCGTTGGATCTAACGGAGGTGGCTTTGGTTGAAACCCTAGCTTTGGTTTCAGCGGAGCTCATTGCGTCGTTCTCGGGGAGGGCTTTACCGTTTCAGCAAAAGAATTCTCGGTCCTTGCTTCAAAACCATTCTATTTCGGGCCATTTTCATGATCTCAATCAAGAAATTTCAACGCTTTTGGATGTTTTCCCTTTGAATGAGTTGAATTTGAGTGATAATATTAGAGAACAAATTGAATTGTTGCAAAAACAGTCAAGAAAGTCAAAATTGTTGATTGATAAACATGATGAAAGAGAGAGCCCATGCAAGTCCCGTGCGCGCAAGGCACACGTGGGGTTTCCGTCCAAAAGCCCAACGACTATTAACTATTGGACCATTTTGAGCCAAAAAGCAAACTGCAGGAGAAAAATTGATACAGTTAGAAGTGCAAGGACCAAAATGAAACCACGAGTAAACTATAGGGACCATTTCTATAATTTGCCCAAATTAAAAACTCCTTAATGTATTTTTTTCAAATGTGACAACGTGGTAGGTATGATGTGACACTCCCAAAAAATTAAAAACTTATTAGTATACTTTTTCTAAATGTGACAACGTAACCGGTATGATGTGACACTCCAAAAAAACTAAAAACTCATTAATATACTTTTTTCCAAATATGACAACATGACGAGTATGATGTGACACTCCAAAAAAACTAAAAACTCATTAGTATACTCTTTCCAAATGTGACAATGTGATGGGTATGATATGACACTCCAAAAAATTTAAAAATTCATTAGCATACTTTTCCAAAATGTGACATGTGACACTCTAACGTAGCGGGTATGATATGACACTACAAAAAATTAAAAACTCTTTAATGTACTTTTCCCAAATGTGACACTCTAACGTAGTGGGTAAGATGTGACACTAAAAAACTCCTTAATATACTTTTTTTAAATGTGACACTCCAATGTGATGGGTAAATGAGTCAATACACATCAAAAAAAACTAAATGGATTACAAGAAAAAATATAGGACTATATGAATTACAAGTCCAAAATATAGGACGTATTGGTCAATCCCCCTATTTTTAAATACTCACATGGTTTGACTATATATATATATATATAAAATTTATTGCATTACATACATACAAGTTCTTGTATTTTTTATTTGTCTTCAATAATTCATATTAATTTGTTTGCCTAAAAAATAATTAATTGACTTGTTTTATTTTTAATTTACAAATAATCACTTCAAATGTTATACAAAATCAAACTAAAACCCCTTATGTGATAATCAAACTAATCACTAACTTTCGCAAAAATAAATAAATAAATAAATAATTAGTCAAACTAACAGTCAACTAACAAAAAGGGGGAATTTGCAAATCAAAAATAAACCTCAAGGGAGGCCAATGTAATTTTTGGAAAAAATAGGAGAGGCCAATGTAATTGTCAAAAACCTCAAAGGAGCTGAGTGTCATTTACCTAGCTTATCATAGTTATTGTTTTCACTTATTTTTCAAATAAAATTTTTATTTATGAACAATTAATTGAAAATACAAAATTCATAAATTTTTAAGTAGATTACAAAATTACCGTTTATATATAATTAATTATAGCTAAAATATTTATATTTGTAGATTTATATTTTTAATTATGTAGATTTATATTTTTAATTATGTATAGATTTATATTAAATACAAAATATTAAATATTTGTAGATTTATATTTTTAATTATGTATAGATTGATTTCTCTTATATATATAATTAATTATAGCTAAAATATTTAAATCAATTAATTTTCAAACTAAAAAGTAAAAGATGTTGGTTTATAGTGCTGGATAGGACAAAGAAAGGTATTAAATGGAATTGGGTTAAGATGAGTTGGTACAAAAGTTGTAATATTCAGTTTGTGAACAATTAAACTTACGTCCGACCTTAGGTTTATATTTGAAGAGAATCGTGTATTAGTGAGGCAAATTAAAAAATTTTGCACTATATATTTGTATCGTTTGAATGAAAGTCTGACACATAAAAGACTTGCATCAAACACTAGAAATAACTTGCACCAAACATAAGACATACATGACCCCAATGAAAATGACATTTTTTAGCCACTTTCTAATTGATTTGATATTTTTCCTCATATTTTTAATAGTTGACCTAATGTTAACCTTGCACCACGTGTCTAACCATTCCATGTTTTTATGATCACATGAAAGATAATCCATTCGATGAGATTATTTACAAGGGGTTAGTTTAGTTAATGAGGATAAAGATCATAGAATATGGCCGGTATAGATTCTAACAAAGTTCAAATAGAGGTTGATTGTAAGATTGAAAATTGTAAGGGTAATTGGGGGAAGGGGAATAAAAAAGTGTGTCCAGGAAGGGAACTAAAAACACGAGTTGAAAGTGGTTAACAAGAGGAGTGAAATGATTTAGTGGTGGAGCTTGATGCAAGTTAGAGATGACTTCATTTTGGATGGCTTGGGAAAAGGGGTTAATGCTTACTCTTTCTATAAAATAAAAATAAAAAATATTATTATTATTATTATTTTATTCTCCAATTTGTTTTCGATTTTAACAAATTTTAAATGAATTTTATTATGTAATTGTAGATTAAAAATTTTAGTTGTTATGTCATTTGAGAAAATCTAATATAAAAGTATATATTATTTATCTTATATGCTAAATGTAATTTTAATAATTCATTCAATGTTTTTGCTCTAAAATATTACTAATCCACGTAATGACATATATATATATATATATATTTTAGTTAATACTTAAAATAAAATATTAATAACAACACAATTAAAACACGACTTTAGTACAATTTAAATGAAAACAACTCATTCACATAATTTTTACTATTTTTTCCTTTTAAATTTTAAAATTATTACTTTAATTTTTAAGATAAAATTTAAACTATTTGTCGGTGCATAGCATGAGTTTTAAGTTAGTTTATATATACACAAGGTAGATTACTTTTATTTTATGTAGGGTCGAATCCAAAATGAAAAAAGAAAATATTAAACATAAATATATAATTAAAAAATAAATAAATAAATAAAAACATACCTTTAGAAGTTGTATCATTACACTTTGACTCAAAGGCCCCATGGTTGTTTCCTAATCAGCACTTTCAACCAATTATTTCCAATGCTCTCTTGCTCTTCCTTAATTTTCCTGACAGATTCCCTAACAGAGAAATGACAAAAGGTTACCTCAATTAGCTGCAGAGTGAGTATATCCCCCAAACTAGATGGTATTTCCCTGAGATTTCGACAACCTTCCAATGATAAGTGTTGAAGGCTTGGAAAGTGACTAGAGCAGGTGATCCATTGCTCGACATTGAGGCTCCTCAGTCTCAAGAATTTGAGTCGAGGAAACCCACCATCAGTTGTTGCCCATTGCGTTCCCCAGGCAGCATTATATTCTAATTTGAGAAGCTCAAGGCTGGGTAACAGCATCCCAAGGACTGACATCTCCTCCCACTTTAGCCTTGTAGATTTCAAGGTTAGCCTCTTAATATTTGCAGGAAACTTGACCTCTCCGAGAGTAATTGGGTATCTGCACAAAACATTGTTGTGCAGCTTCAAAGTCTCAAGGTGTCTTAAAAATTCTAGATTAGGAAACATCAAATTCTCCGAATCTGACAACAGATGTCCACAAATTCCCAACTTTGTAAGATAAGGAGTTCTTGCCAATAAATCCTGAATACATCCACAAGGGTTGAAGTTTGCGATGGTTCGTAGGTTTTCTAATATAGAGGGATGGTTGTGATCCACCACTGCTTCTTCAGAACATAAAGACACATCATATTTTGCTCTTCCTTTAGCATAAAGATGCCTCAACTTTGGAATCTTCCAAACATTACATGGCAAAATAAGCTTTCTCCATTGTGTAGAAATAATAATAAGTGTTTCTAGGTTTGAGAGATTGGATATTGATTGCGGTAATTCACAGGAATCGTTCAAATTAATTGCCAAATACCTCAAATTAACAAGTTGGGTTAATTCTTTTGAAAAGAAGGTACTGATGTACCACATGTCCAACACTCTAAGAAGTTTGAAGGTCCAACAAATAAACGAACACACATCACCAAACGGATTGCCGGCATTTCTAATTTTTCTCTCAAACTTATTTTTGAAGCACAATAATGATTGAACAACTGCTGGGGAACAAGACTTGAGAACATGATCAAATTCTAGTAAGAAGTAAGACCGGATGCACAGGCGGCGTTGGTTATTTGTTTCGTAATTACTTGAAGAAGAAGGAGAAGAGTCATTATAATTGTGAATCCACTGCAGGAAATTAATTTCGCTGGCTTTCTTCAAGCATAAATCACGCAACAAATCATGCATACGACATGCTTTAATTCGACCATCAAACCCTTTTTGAGCAACAATTACCAGACTTCTTTGAATTAGATCCATCAAGTAATCCTCTGCTACTTCCTCCAAGCTTCTCTGCCCAATTTTTTGTATAAACCCCTCAGCTATCCACAAACAAATCAACTTCTGCACCGGGATTTCGTGGTCTTGTGGAAATGCTCCTAAATAGAGAAAGCATGGTTTCAAGTGGCGAGGCAAGTGATTGTAACTCAGTACTAGTGTGTCCAAGTACTGGTTTGGATCACTAACAATGTATGAGCTTACACTTTGGGCAACTTGTTTCCACGACTCTCGTGTCTTCATGTTTCTTGCAAGAAGTCCTGCTATTACAACAATTGCAAGTGGAAGCCCTTCACATTTTTTCATTATTTGCTTCCCAATTTTAATCAGTTCTAGAGGGCAACTTTCATTTTGAAATACCTTCCGTTCTAATAACTCCCAACTCTCTTCTTCAGTGAGAAAACGCAGACAATGAGGATGGCACTTAGGTGAGGCATGCATAGCCACCTCTTTGAGACGACTGGTGAACATAACTCTACTTCCATTGTTGTCATTGGGGAAATACATTTTAAGATCGACCCAGGCACTAATATGCCATAAATCATCAATGACAATGAGATATCTCTTGCCTTTTAATTGCTTGTACAACTTTTCACCTAGCTCCTCATTGGTCATGTTTTCAATTTCATCGACAGTAACAGAATGTAAAATGTCCAACAACATTTCGGTTTTTCTGGGTAATTGAGAAGCATAGGTCCATGCACGAATATGAAAGTAGTGTGTGATGTAAGGATCATCGTACAGTTTTCTGGCTAAAGTTGTCTTACCGTGTCCAGGCATCCCAACAATTGATATCATTTGTAGCTGCTTCTTCCCTCCAGCAAGTAGCTTTTTTATAGTCAACGCCTCATCATCAAAGCCCACTGTAATTTCTTCATCTACCATGGTTCTGTTCTCCATTGACATTGACATTGACATCGACGAATGGACTCCATCATAAAAATCTTGTAGGAGTTGAATCTGATTTATCTGGTCATAAAACTGCACCACTTTTGCCTCGATCGGCTTAATCTCTTCCATGATATTTGTGCCAATTAAAATATCAAAAAAATTGTCACCATTGTTGTTGTTGTCCCTCTGCTCTGGAACTTCAACATCAAAAGAACGGATGAGTTGTCTTGTTTTGCAGATCACATAATAAATTTGCATCGGCAGGTTTTTAGCTTCATGGTTCAAGTCATGTTGCTGCTGCTGCTGCTGCTGCTTCTCGTCCATATCATTGAGAATGATTGCTAGGAATCTTAGCCGATGGTAAAAAGAGTCGATATGATCTATCTGATCTTCTGTCAAATTGCACGCATTACTAATCATTAGATGATTCAGTTTATCTAAGACACAATAATTTTCACCCATCTCCCTCCCGAATCCCTCTCTCTGTTTCCATCTCTCTATCTTTCTTTCTCTTTCTCTGGCTTCCTCTCTCGCATACTCATCCATTTTTTTGATCAGCAAATAGTCGATTGTTTACTGCTTCCATAGGCCCATTTCGATGCTCTGCTATTTCTCTCAGGGTTTGTGCTCTGAAGACGGAGTTCAATCAGAAAAGATTCTGTGGCATCCAAAATGTTGACTCGGGAGCTTCTATATACACACACCTAATCCCCTCTATACACACACTTAATGATATTTAATTTTATTACAATTTTATCCCTAAGTGAAATTACTATTTTAGACATCAACTAAATTCATCTCAATGCACACATCCAGACTTCACGTTGAAGCAGAAGCTTCAACCTTCCTTATTCGTAACTTCTTCCTCATTCATCATTGATATAGAGGATTTGTCTTCTGAAAATCAGCAAATAAGTGTTTATGAGAAACATAGCGAAGGAAATGCGAGTTTCTTTTCTTTTTTTTTTCCAGCGTCGTTCGAATAACCAGAGTCGAATTGTGTTATTTGGTTCGGAAATCTACTACCGAAATAATTATTTATTTTCAGAAGTTGTTGTCCAAACAAACTAATAAATTTCGGAAGTTGTTGTCCGAAAAAATTATTTAATTTCGGAAGTTGTTGTCCGAACAAAGTTAACTTTTACAACATTCAACTTCCGAAAGTTGAAAATAAATTCGGGCAACTACTTCCGAATGAAGTAAAAAAAAAATTTTGCAAACTGTATATCAAATTTACAGTTTCGAATTGCAAATTAATCTTTATAATGCCATTAAAAATTTGTAATGTTATACAAAACATGCAATATCATTACATTTGAAAATAATATCATTTACAAAATCAACGACCATTGTTACCATTCCATTCTAATAATAAAATATCATTACAATACATCAACTAACAAAATAACATGTAAAAAGAAGCTCAAACAAAGCTATACCATTACAATACATCCTAGTGCATTACTAATGGTCTTATTCCCTAATTCTATCCCCAAACAAAGCTATACCATTTTTCAATTCCATGTTAGTACCCATTGAAGCTCAAACAAGTTTTCAAAAGGTGATCTCAAATACAATACGTAGTGATTGATTCATATAGGTATAAATTATGTTACAATAATTAAAATTTTAATGCATATTCTCAAATTATTTATCACGCAATAAGAGGTTACCACAAATGTAAAAAGAATATACATAAGAAGGGAGAGAAAAAAAAAAGAAAAAAAAAAAACACTGTTCGGAAGTTTAAAACCGAAAGTATATATACTGTTCGAAAGTTGAAATCTGAAACAAAAAATTAATTTCGGAACTTGATTGTTGTTTGAATTTAATATATACGAAAGTTGACTGCCGAAATAATCAAAAAGTTTCGGAAACCTACTGTTGAAATAAATCACCAATTTGGGAATCCTACTTCCGAACAAATGAATTAATTTCGGCAAACCAGTTCCGAACGGTTTGTTTACACTCCGTGGGCCTTCGTCCGTTTTCAAAGTGATAAAAACAAAACTCTACATTTTGATTAATTCATTTGTGATTTATTTCAACAGTAGGTTTGTGATTTATTGTTACTGACAGAGGTCGAAGATGAAAGCTGTGTGTGTGTATTTGGGGATGAAAGCTGTGTGTGTGTATTTGCACACGGTAAGCTTACTCAAGGTTGAAGATGTAGCTTAAGCTTCAATGGGTGTGTGTATCCTCAAGGGTGAAGATGTAGCTTAAGCTTCAATGGGTGTGTGTATTTGCACTGTTGGGAGAGAGCTGGGTTTGGGGTCGGGGTGTGTGTGTGTGTGTGAGGGCAGATGTGGAATAAACCATGTGTGTAGTGAGTAGATTAATTAGGAATTAATTTTTTTGGTGTGTGTAGTGAGAAAGATGTGCAAAGAGGGTATTTGGTGTGTGTAAATAGATGCTCCATGTTGACTCTGGCTAAAATTTAAGCAAATTACTTTTACGTCCTCTAACAATTTGCTTAAATTGTTGCTGGCCTGGCCTATTAGTTTGACAAAATATAATACCTGCTTCCACTGATTTCCTCAAAAGTTACTCCGTTAACGAGTCATGAAATAACAAAATTACTTTTACCCCATCATACTTCCACACTTCATCTCCCTATCACTACTCTTTCACCTCATCTCATCTCACTTCTATTGGTACCACTCTTCCCAGTGTCCCCGGAGATCAAAGTAGAAAAAAGCAAACAAAAAAAAATCAAGAATCAATAACTTGGTTGAGGTGGTGGATATTAGTTGCGACAATTCAATAGCATAATTAATGGTGAAAATATTAACAATTCATCTTATTAGTGTAACATTAGTTATTCCGTTAGATTAGTAAGATAAATAATTATCTTTTGTCTAATTTTTCGTTAGATTATCTCTTCCAAACACACATTAATGTGTATTAATTTGATTTTTTTTATATATATTAGTTGTAAGATTAAAAAAAAATTGTAAATTTTGTTGAATAGAAAATCAATCCAACTACAAAAAAATAAAAAATAAATAGAATGTGAGTCCCGTGAATTAATAATTAAAAATTTTAGCCAAAACTCCCTAGGCCCAACATGTTAATGTGTAAAGGAGAGTCTAAGATATTTTACTTTCTAAACCCCTGAACAACAAGCACTTCTTCCATGAAGGACACACTATTATTTTTTCTCCTTTTTCTAAATAAGTTTGCACTTATGTATATATGTCTCACAGAGTGTGAGAGAACTTAGTAATATATAGTATGACACCTTAAATATTTAATTAATTTTAACTCTACTTTAATATCAGCTAATTATAATTAGAGAAAGTATATATATTGGATATACTTAAAATGTAATTTAATTTAAGTTAAGGATTATTATGATTTTTTAAGAGAGAGAGATTGTAATACAATTAATTTAATATTCAGATCATAAGATAATAAACTTTGCGTTTGTTTGGATAAACTATGCCTACTGATAAGATTGAAAACAATAAGGGGTGGCAAATAAAGCCACGTGTTGAGTGAATCACCTATATAAATAGGTGAATTCGTGAGGTTGAAGTGACTAAAGAGAAAGGAATCAGCACAGTAAAAAGGGAGTGTAAAATTGGGAGTCGCTATTTAGTTGAATTGAATTATTGAGTAATTATGAATTATTTAATGTAAATTATATTTTATTAATTATGAATTATTTTATGTAAATTATATTTTATAAATTATATTATTTATTTTATGAATCTTATTTGTTTACAAGGGAAATTTATGGATATAAATTGCTTATAACTTTGGAGATTTGATATTTATTGATGTGTTTTATGAGTATCATCACAGAGGTCTTATGTCTTGAGAACTTAAATAATCATTGGCTTCTCTGATTAGTATTAGTTAGTTATTTTAGTGATTCTCTATTTATCATGGATCCATTTAACATGTGTTTTATACTGTGGTTATAATTATTTTACTTATATGATTTCTGCATGATATTTTTGTTATTTAAAATGATTTATTTATTTGAACCAAACTATTCACTGTTTAGCCTAAATAATTATCTATGGTAACTTTTATACCTTATGCTCTTAATATAATATTTTTCACTTTGTCATATGTTTATATTTGTTAAAACCCTTTCAGGTAATGAAACTTAGGGAGGAGTTTTTTTTTTTTTTTTCCACATAAAGTAGAACCAAGGTTTGGAATAAACACCGTGTCTTGTTTCGTTTTATTTATTTATTTTTTTTTATTTTGTTTTTATTTATTAGTAATTATTGCCTAACTCTTTTTAAGTAAATAAAAACTCCAATATACGTTTTAAGCACAATAAATATTTATGTATACCTTTTATTTTACTCCGCTGCGTTGTTAATTCCTTCTAATTTAAAATTAATCTTGGTAACTTTAGAAATCAACTAGTTGCGACATCCAGTCCCTGGGTACTGTGGTTGGGTCGTCACATATACAACACACTAAAGAAGTAAACAAGATAGTAATGCAAGTTACAAATTAAATGCACTGAAGAACTCAAATTTTCTAAAAGCTGATTAATGAGAGAGTAGAAACAAGTTGATCACCAACATTGTTCGTCTCACAACCCTAAGAAATCAAAATTCAATTGCAAAAATTCATAAACTAAAATGAAGAAGAAGAAGAGTTTTGAGAGGAAAAATCTTTCATGCCGATCGTTGAAGTGAAAGTAGGTCTAGATTTGGGTCTTGGTTGGGTTTTGATGAAAGTGGTAGTGGGTGTAGAAACCCAGTGTGATTAAGGAAAGTATGGTTGAATGATTGGGCCTATTGATTGAAAATTTTATCCCCACTACGCCATGAGTCTACTCTATCCTTCTAATACTTGGAAGTGATAAACAACTAAGTTAGCTGATAACTCAGTGAGTAGCAACATGGATAGTAAATACAATTTTGAAAACAGAGTTCAATTCCAAAATAAGATATATATCACAGAAACTAGATTGGCATACAATTTTAATAAAGATAATCTGTTTCAAAAATAAGATTCCACAGTTCAACAGTTAAAATACTCATGACTCTTAAGAACATAATAAATGACATTTTCCATTTAAAATAGATTACAACATGAATACCAATAATTTTTTAGGTACAAGGAATAACAAATAACATGCCACACAGTTCTCAAGGCAACAAGCCCGTTGGATCCAATATCGAGCCAAGAGTCATCCTCAGGGTGACAAACCGGGCCTTTTCTCTAAGACGATTCGATTAAAGGTCACCTCACCTAGCCTAGGTCTTTTCCCTATAATCGTTGAGCACTATAGTCATCACGGCCCAACCCGGATCTATTCCCTAGTGGACAGAGTTACCACACACAGTGGAATAATTTTCATGTACTAAAATATACAAATGGTCTCAATAATCAATACAATTCAGTTTCACAAAATATGGTAGTTCACCATTATAAACATGAGACCATAAAAAATAGTTTACAGTATGCCAAGTTCACACATGTTTCAAAAACAATTTAATTCCATTGATAATATAATAATTTATCAAAACAGTTTAGTCCTGAAACAACAATTTAATTTTCCAACAGTTCAGGGTAGGGAAAAATTTATAAAAATATGTAGCATGCAACTACTCACCTGAACACGGTATAATATAATCCTTGAATAAAGTATGAAAGTCCAACTAGTACCCTGAA